TGTTTTTTTTTCCTTTTCTCTTTTTGGCTTGCTGCAGAACCTCACACCATCTCAGTATTGATCATTTGTGCTCCAAATGGACAGATCATTTGCAGTTATTTTTACTCACAACTTCCAGGATTTTAGCTAGGGCTATTGTGGCTCGCTTAGCATCTCTGAGCAAACCCTGGCAAAACACTGCTAAGCTCCAGAACCGGAGGTGTGAGGAGGTCTGTGCTCAAAATCGCAAGCAGGAGGGTTACAACAGGCCCTTCAGATCTACGAGTTCATGAATTGCCTGGATTGCAATCCCTTGGTGCACGTGCAGGGTGGATATCACCTTGGAGGAGAGTCGCTTGGGTTGCCAGTGTCACACATGTCACACAGCAGGTGAAGGTGTCAGTTTTAAGGATTCCCAGTTGCCTGGATCTGTCACAGCCTGGTCATCTCCCAGAGCGATGGTGTTTTTGCATCTGGCAAACTGCCTCTTCCCCTGGCCCTCCTAATACTTTGAAGATCTTTTTGAATCTATTAATTTTCTTTTAACAAAGTGTCTGTGCTGTTCATCCATCACTTGATGGCTGCCCAAGGTCAACAGCCTTGGATTGCCTTCTCTTACCTTACTTTGTCACTGCTCTTTTAAAATCTCATGATACTTCTTGTGGGGCACGTGTGCCGCTGCCACAAGAACACGTCTGGCGGGCTGTGTTTATGCCCTTCCCACACCCCGTGCTCAGCACACTGTGGTGTTGCATGGTCTGAAAAGGAGCTGGTCATCCATTTGCTATCTCAGGCTTCCACAGTGCCCAAGGGCAGGTTTCCCAGGATGTGCCCTGCTCCCCATAGAGCTGGAGCAGGGCACAGGGAGCTGGGCTGTGGCTGGGGAAGCAAAGGGGGAGGCAGCAGTGTCCCTGCACAGCGGGTGGCAGCCCCCGCACTGTGTCCCTGCTGTCTCCCTTTCTGTGTGTGCAGGGTCTGAGCGGTCACTTCCCACCCGGCTCCTCTCCATCCAGCCCCTGCTCTCTCATCTCTGACCATCTCTGTGGAATTTCACCTGCTGACTTCAGCTTCCCTTCCTGATCTTCCCCTTGTGGATCTCTGCTCCTTGCCTGCAGGAGCAGTCAGAGGTACCGGGGCTGCCACGTTCCTGGCCAGATGCCCCGGCGCTGCCCCCAGCCTCGTGTTTGCCGCGGGTCTGGAATGTTTCACGTGGATAGAAGCAGCCCCTGTCTTCCTGGCGCTGGCTGGTTCTCAGCATCGCTGACCTTGCCGAGATAAAAGTAGACATTTCATTTTGAATTAAAGACAGTTCAGCTGAAAGAAATCCAAGCGTTTTATTTCAGAAACATCAAATCACAGCGTTTCCTTTTTTGTCTGTGATTCAGGAGGGAGAAGGTTCTGCCAGCCAGAGCCGGGTGACAATGACATTGATTTCTTAGACCTTTTGGCAGGGCCAAATCTGTATTTTTAGCTGGAAAAATC